CACCGTTCCGTCCGGTGTCGTGGCCACAATGCGGGTCATGGATCCCGTGGCGGCGAACCACTTGCGCATGGTGTCCATCGTCTTGGGATGGTTCTCGGCGAACGAAGTGCTGTGGGCAATCTCCCAGTTGTGGATGTCGAGGACCGCGGGGAGGTCGGCCTCGACGAGGTCGCGAAAGGTGAAGGCCATGCTGGGAAGGGTGCTGACGGACGCAGATTTTTTGGGCCGTTTCGTGGATGGCTCTTCGCTCGAGTCATCATCCTGCATCCGCGTTCCCATTCCCATCGAGACGCCAATGTGCTGATGCTGACGCCGTTTGGGTCTCGGTGGCTCCTCATCAATTCCCTCCTCGTCGTCGTCGTCGACTTCGATGTCGCTTTCCTCTTCCATGGCCATCAACGCGGCCACGACTTTCGTTGAGCCCGCGTCGTCGTCGTCAAATAGCTCCTCCATAATCTTGACGGCTACCGCGGTCGCCAACCCGCGGTTTTCCGTTGCAGCTGCGCTCCAGCAGGCGGACGAGCTCTGCACGCATTTCGGCTGCGGGTGAGAACGAGACGAAAAATTCAGGTCCGATCCCCCAGACGTCCGCCATCCATCTCTTCTCGAAGAAAGCGAGCGACCGCCAATGTCCGTATTGTGTATGAATACACCGCATCACCGCAAGTCCAAAAGAACTCTTCGTTTCATGGGAGCGCGACATCTGGTTGGCAACGCTGAGCTTCTGGATGTGACTACCCCCAAACGCGGGTGGTTGGATTTCGGCTCGGCCTTTATCCAAGAACGCTTTTCAGGACAGTTTGGCGATTCGACGTCGTCAGGGCGCTGGATGCATCGACCGACGCCGCCATGAGTCGATTCTTGCCGACCTAGCGCGTTGTCTTGCTCAAAAAATCTTTAGCCACGTTTTTTGAGAGATACCCTCATGCTCCCCATCCTTTGGTGGTTTCCAGGACGGCCTCTTCATCCATCCATCACAGCGACAGCATGTTCAGGACAGCGGAGGAATGGGCACTAACTGTGCCCCATCAGCCATCTTGGCGGTTGAGCGCATATTAGCGTCAGAAGAAGTTGCGTGGAGGCGCGAGAGCATTTGGAGGACGAGCCTAAAAGGATTGCTTCGGGGCGTGACGTATGCCTTTCACAGCCAGGAGAGCCGAACACTAAATTACGCTTGTACTTGTGGCTACCGTCGGACCGTTGCACTTCTAGTGAGGAAAATAAGCGAGCGCCCGATGGAGGCGAATGTCTGAGGTTTGAGGGACGGCCATAGATATCGTTCGGAACATGAAAACATTGGAGCAGCAACAGCTAAATCGGCTCTGTTCAAGTGCTCACTCCCAGGCCCTCGCGGTCCAATGTTTGGGGATGAATGACTCCTCACATTCAACGCAGCTAAAGTCCTACTCGTGGAGAGGAACAAGGTGATTTTCGGCAGAGGATAATATGGCTTGCGAGTAGGTGTCTGCCACGGAAGCAGTTACTTTGCCGACCTTAGCCTGCTGCGGGCCAATTTTTGTTAGTGCATCCTCGTGCCCCCGTTCATTTGGAAGCCTCGAATTGGTCAGTAACTTTTTCCTAGGTTGTTTGGAAGACGAAAGCTTGTGGAGGTTCTTCCCCGTGCGCTGTAGAGAATGGCGATTGTTACATTAGCTGCCACAGCCTGACCCGTTCCCCGGTATTCACACGTTCACAAAAATCTGTCTTTCCCATGCTTCAGATAATACACCGCATGACCGCAAGTCCGCAGAACTTCGCTTTGCCGGAGTGTGACATGTCGTGGCTTACGCGAAGAATTTCGGCTTGGATACTGTGAGGACATTACCACCACAGCATCCATCACCACCGACGGCACCCAAACCGCGCCATGCATTTTATCTGATTGTCTTCCCAGCAAACTCACGCATTCGATTCCAGCGGCGACGGACTCGAAGCGATTGTTGAGCGGCGGATGGTCTCCCGTCAGCTTGGACTACAGGGTCGACGACAAGAGCAAGTGTTAAGAATCACGTGGACCAAACAAAGGCGGTGAAGCCGCTTGGCGCGACATGAAGGATACTGCACGTATTGCGAGGTGGCTGCATGTCACAAACGTTGCGGGAGGGTGACGGACGAGAGAGTGATGTAAGGCTATTGCGGGCGAGAGAAGAAGCGCTTCCATGGGACGCACCTGGTGAGGCGGCTCTGAGTCAGAAGGGAAAGAACATCGCGCTACTGAGAGGCTGCTTGGATCAGCCTCAGCCGGGGGCGGCAGGCGGTAAGTAAACGTGGGAGATTCAAAGACGCTTCACTGGACTATGCTTCGTGCTTCAGGAAGCTCATGGAAAACGCGCGCGACCAAGCTCGTCATCGACTCCGCCAACTCAGGTGGTTTTGCTTCATTTTTACCCTCAGAACAGTTCAGCGCATAACTAACTGCTCTATTTGACAGACTGAAACGCTGTTTATCTCGCCACCGGTCTTGATGGCACCGGATGCATCATCTCGCTCGGCCGGAAGTTGGCAACCCGCCAGAAATTTCATGCGTTTCGGTGGCCGTGCAGAGCTGGCTATGTCCAACGGCAACACTTTCAGTGCCGCAGAGAGAAAGAGGAGTGCTGCTGCTTTGTCTCCGAAGAGGAGGGACTGACTCCACCGCAGTGCAAGATAGCGAAGGATATGGATTCCGAAAGGCGGAACGAGCACTGGCATCGCATTCCGTGCTGCACAGGCGTGTATCAAGCACCTGTAAGCGTTGGAAGAAATGCCTGAGTGGCCGAGTAGCACTGCCAACGGACAACTCAGAAACTAGCCGTCAGTGGAAGCCCACAGCTGCCTCCTTTTCGACCAGCATGGCTACACCCATTATGCTTTTGGCTACGGACTAATTAGTGATGCTGAGGAATACTGAGCTTGTCCGGGTATGCATGCACGCCGGCCCTAAGTCCCGAGGTGGGGGATATCGCTCGTGAGAAGGAAAATCTTCGAGCAGCTCCAGCCAAATCCACCCCGTCAAAGTACTCACTTCCAAACCGTGGCATCTCGCTCACGTGCTTCGAATATTTTAAATGCTCAAACACTGCTGATTCCCATCCATGGAGAAAACAAATGATGTTCGTCGGCAGCGGGACATGATGGCTCGCGAGTGGTTGGTTGTGCGAGTTACGTCAAATGGGAATTACGACGCCGCCTTGCGCACCGCGGTTGACTATGCTGCCGGTAGATGATTCTAAATGGAGCCTTTTGAAGAGGTAGATGTTGCCATCAAACGAGGTTTACACGGCAACGTGACCCTTCCCCAAAACCCCTTTCTTCTCGAGGGATCGTGAGTAGCGGCTGGGCACACAATTCACTACTGGTGTGGTTTTTCGAAACGCCAGCCTTTTGGAGGTGTATGGATGTCCGTGACTCTCGTGAGTGTGGCGCTCCAGTTACGACCGGCGGGGCTTTTGATGTACTCATGCTCTTTTGCCCGAGCATACACTAGCAGGAGCAGAAAGGGAGTTCTTTGCAGATGTTTATTCTAAGGATCGGAGTCCTTTGTGCAAAACATTTATGTATGCTAATTTTACTTGTTTCAAAAACCTCAGTTCGAACATCTGAGTGGTAGGGCGTATGGCGAAATGGTTACCGCGTTCGGCTTCGACCTCGATTTTAACATTCGAGGAATCCGCCACCGAAAGATTGCAGGTTCGATCCCTGCTACGCTCGCTTTTTTGTATCCTACGACCCCTTTCACCTTTTTCGCTTGACGACCGCGTCATTGGCGCGTCGTGTTTGAGTTCGAGCCTTCAACAGGCTGAATTTTTGGTCCAGATTTTTGTGAATAAAAAAATTGTCAGAAATACCCTCAGTGACAAATGCATCGAACCCCGATGACGGAACCAGCTAAAAGCGATGTAATCAATCTCCTGTTGGCCGATATCTATACGAAGAAAAGATACGAGTGGTGAAGTCTGGAACCCCTTTAAGTAGTATCTTGCGCGTTGCCTCCGCATAAACTGCACCACAAGGTCCTGACAATAGAACTGCTGGGTGAGAACTTGATCATGAAGGTGATCCGTGTCCCCGAATCCATGGTTTTTGCTCGGATGCAGAACACAACGATGGTCAGCCGAGTAGATGGAGCAGAAGTGTGGACCGGTCAGGCGCATCATATAGTTTTGAGTTTTTTGTAGCGCTAACCTAAAATAATAACAGAGAAACACAAAAAGCGGCGAGCACAAGACGCACAGGGACAAGGCTCGATAGCGGTAAGTGCTGACGGGAGTGTTCACAACCAGATTCGGCGAAAGGACGCAACAAGATCATGCACCTTGGACACAAGGGCGGAGTGTAACTGAATGGAACAAGGCACGCTGGGACGGGGCTGAACTTCGTGATAACGACGAGGGATGCAAATACTCATTAAAGCAACAGTCCGCAAAGTAAGACCTCCCGAGTCAACATCAAGTCGATGCAACGCAACTTCACCGGCCTCTACGAGGCTGTTCCCATCACCGGCGTCCCCAACGCGACCTTCTGCTACCTCCAGCGAGGCGACAAGCTATCGGCACCCTCCGAGCCCTGCCTGCCCCTCTGCAACCGCTACCTCACCATCAAGCACAGCGCACCCCGCCCCGATGAGGCCAATATCGGCTTCTATCCGACCCCAATCGACAGCGGCGATCGCTTAACGCTTACCCCTGCTCCGTTCCCCGCTGGATCCAGCAACCCCTGCAACTGCACAGACTTCTCCTTCAGCTCGGTATGGCTCAGCAAGCCGTCCGAGGCCGGACCGTTTACGACATCTCCTACCACGTCAACCGGGAAGAAGGCTCGTCGTGCCTTCCTTCCTGTGGAGAACGGAACGGTGCTGACCATCTTTGATGACTGCAACTTTCGGTATGAAAGGAAGACGCCTGAACTGGGGATGCTGTTTCCGCCTACGAAGGGATTGTCTGGAGGCGCCATTGCAGGGATCGTCGTTGCAGTCGTTGCGGTAGCCGCGATTGCGGGGGGAGCAGTTTTGTACGTGTGGAGGCGGAAGAAAGCTCAGTCTTGAGTGGGTTTAGCTCCTTCACGACGAGCTGGTCAGATGTTTGGATACCATAACTTGTAGCTTTTGATGAAAGCAAGTAAAGGAACCTCATAACGTTATTGCTCTTCAACGTACGTAGCCTTGGCGGGGGAACCTTGAAGTTCCAGTCCCACCAATAGTACATCTATCGCCGGATAATACGGAATTCAACGGCAACAATTTCCATCAACATTCCAATCATACCATTAGAATTGATGGTTGAAGTGTCAGCGTTGCTGAATAGCGGTCCCATCTGGCGTTTCGATGATGGACATCCACTGCCTGAAATTGTCAGATTCAAACGTTCTCCACTTTTTTCAACGACATCCTTGATCGAAAGAAAAAAAGTTCGCTCTTGGAACCTCCCCATGCCGGCATCAGGAAAGACGAAAAAGACGGCCCGGCCAGAGCTGGATGCGGACGGACTCGTTCCCTTTGAGGATATCGACGACATCGATGTGGAGGACGCTGGATCCCGGACGTCATCCGCAAAGTCCAAAGGACAGCCCGGACGCAATGCATCCGACAAGGACTTGACCTCAAAGGAAGGAAGCCGGGTAAAGGCACGGAAGGCGAGGAAGAAGCGGACAGAGAGGGTGACCCAGGACAAGAACGTCAAGATCGTTAGCGATACGCCAAAGAAGAAGGGGCTGGCGGAGGCCGAACCGGTGAATCCAGCGGTCAAAAAGTACGAAAGAGGGAAAGCGAATCTACCCATCAAGGTACACTTCATTGACGTATTGATCCAACCATCCTATTTAGAGCATTGAAGACAAAAAGCTGAAGGGGACACTGCGGAAGATTGGGAAGAAGTATGAAGATGCCGCCAAGAAGGCCGCACGATCCGAAAAGCTGCAACTCGAGGAGGCAGGGTAAGTTCTCGTCTTTGGTCGTTGGTATACGTTACAGAGAGTAACGCTGTTCAAAAGTTTCCTTGAGGCAGAGGGAATGGAACGAACCTACAAGTTCACGCAAAAGGAGTTGGAGGAGAATGTTGATATGGCGACGCAGAGAAAGGTTTGCTCGTCCTTTCAAACATGCGGAATGACCTCGTCGTTCAGATGTTTGCTCTGGATCTGGATGTTTTTGGCCCCTATCACCTCGACTATACGCGAAACGGAAGACATCTTCTCCTCGCTGGCCAGAAGGGCCACATCTCGACGTTCAACTGGGAGACCAAGGCTCTGGGCTGCGAATTTCACGTCCGCGAAACCATTCGCAGTGTCAAGTACGTTTTTTACCTTTTTCCCAGTTCCTAAAAGTAACGCAGATGGCTTCACAACGAAACGATGTTTGCGGTTGCGCAAAAGGAGTTTGTATATATCTATGACCAGTCCGGAACCGAAATCCATTGCCTTCGCAAGCACGTGGGAGTCAACTGTCTCGAGTTTCTTCCTTATCACTTCCTCCTGGCGACCGTGGTACGTCAAGCGTTCATATCTCCCCGTTAACCATAGCAGGGCAAGCCCGGCCGCCTGATCTACCAAGACACTTCCACCGGATCCGTCGTTGCTGAGCAAAGAACAAAGCTCGGGGAATGCAAGGTCATGCGGCAAAACCCTTACAATGCCATCTTGCATTTAGGCCATCACAATGGTGCGGAACTGGTCGACATCTGAATCTTAAGCTTGAAATAGGAACGGTAACGCTGTGGAGCCCTAACGTGTCCGAGCCTCTCGTCAAGATGCTTTGCCATCGGGGTCCGGTTCAGTCGCTGGCGATCGACCGGACTGGCAAGTATATGGTAACGGCGGGCTTGGACGGGCAGATGAAGGTCTGGGACATCCGCACATACAAAGCCGTTGAGCAATACTTCACCACCAGCCCTGCTGCGTCTCTGGACATCAGTCAAATGGGCATCCTCGCCGTCGGCCACAGCTCCCATGTCACGGTAATAACTTCAAGTCATTTCCAGCTTACTTGATGATAGCTATGGAAAGATGCCCTCACCACAAAAGCAAAATCGCCGTACATGCACCACCTGGAGCCCGGCTCCAAGGTCAACATGGTACGTTTCTGCCCGTATGAGGATGTGCTCGGATTCGGACACGTCAAAGGATTCCGGAGTCTGGTCATTCCTGGATCCGGAGAGCCCAACTACGACGCCCTCGAAGTCAACCCGTACCAGACCAAGAAACAGCGGCAGACCTCCGAAGTCAAGGCGTTGCTCGAAAAGGTTGGTCTTCATTGCAGCTTTCGATGTTGTTAAGCTTCGGCTGACATGATGTCTGCAGATTCAACCGGAGATGATATCGCTCGATCCCAACGTCATCGGAACGGTCGACCGGGCGCCGCAAGAGGTTCTCATGGCCGAGAAGAAGCTGGAATTTGAGGCGAACAACCCAAAGACAAAGTTCGCGCCCCGGAAGAAGGCGAGAGGGAAGTCTTCAGCCATGAGGCGCTATGTCCGGAAGCAAGCAAACATCTTGGATCCTCGAAGGGTACGTATTAGCTTTCAGCACCTTTTCTTCTTCGTGTGGAACATGCTGACTGTTGCTTCCTAGGCCGAATACATTGAGAATCTTGCAAAGGAGAAGGCTGAGCGCGAAAAGGAACGGAAGAGAGAGAGGGGTGAGGTGGTCGAGGACGATAAGCCAAAGCCTTATTCGGCGGTCGACCGGTTCGCTAGGAAGAGAAGAAAGGTGGAATGATGATGACTTGAGAACTTTGCTTCTACTACAGAATCAATAAACCAAATCGATGCAATATCATGCTCTTTACTGCGTATTTGTGTGAAGCATGAATTTACGGCAAGTCTCGCTTCCGTTTAAAGTCTGAAGCTAGGAAAATTGGTTAACAGTGTGTTCCTCAAATGGCTCAACATAAATTCATCCTCATCGCTAAAGCACATCGTATCAATCTCTTCACCGCAGAATCCTTGGTTCCTTATCTTTGTTCATAACATCAATAAATGTATCGATACGCGGCAATTACCGAAAGCAATTTCTACAATTTCTGAACCAGGTATCGCATCATTTTCGAGTATTCCGCTGGAGCCGCGTCTTCGTGAAGATCTCACACATGAGCCGTTTTAGGCCCGGACAAAAAAAGAGACGTTTCGGAACGACCCCTCGATATACTTGCGCTCGTCCTCCAACAGCCGTCACCAAGGCATTGCTGAATTGCCCGGGTAATCTGAAAGAAACATGGGCTTGTTAAGATCATTCGATCCTTGTAAGTCTCAAAGAAGACAACAATTGTTGGAACCTCACCTCAAAAGCGGGTTTCCAGATCACTTACAGCTATCCCTCGCTGCTCATACCAAACACATCATTTTTCCCCGCGTAAATGACCAAAAACAACGGCACCACAAACGCCACAAACCCGCCCACACGCCCGACACTCCACAAAGGCGCCCTGCCAACCGGCATCCCTACAACTCACAACGTCAGTACCTGCCAGCACTCAAACCCCAAAAAGGCACTTACCCAATATCCCCTCGCCCCACACCATCCCGCACTCCACGCCCACCTCCGCCACGAAACACAGCCCCGCCACCGCTGCGACCCTGCGCGCATCGCCGCCATCCCGCCCGCCCGCCCACGCCGCCGCCACCGTCGACGCGTACGAGCAGAACGCATGGTCGTTGCGGCCCGCGGCGTGTTTGGCGCCGCGGGACTCGTCGTGGCGGGGAGCCGCCGGAGCGGCGTCG